AAGTAACGAAGATCAGAGCAGAACTGAAGGAGATAGAGACACAAAAACCCCTTTAAGAAAATGAATGAACCCCCAGGAGCTGATCTTTTGAAAAAAATCAACAAAATAGACCATTAGCAAGACTCATAAAGAGGAAAAGAGAGAAGAATCAAATAGATGCAATAAAAAACGAAAAAGGGGACATCACTACCGATCCCATAGAAATACAACTACCATCAGAGAATACTATAAACACCTCTATGCAAATAAACTAGAAAATCTAGAAGAAATGGATAAATTCCTGGACACATACACCCTCCCAAGTCTAAACCGGGAAGAAGTCGAATCCGGGAATAGACCAATAACAGGTTCTGAAATTGAGGCAATAATTAATAGCCCACCAGCCAAAAAAATTCCAGGACCAGACAGATTCACAGCCAAATTCTACCAGAGGTACAAAGAGGAGCTGGTACCATTCCTTCTGAAACTATTCCAATCAATAGAAAAAGAGGGAATCTTCCCTAACTCATTTTAAGAGGCCAGCATCATCCTGATACCAAAGCCTGGCAGAGATAAAACAAGAAAAGATAATTTTAGGCCAATATCCCTGAGGAACATCGATGCAAAAATCCTCAATAAAATACTGGCAAACCAAATCCAGCAGCACATAAAGAAGCTTATCCACCATGATCAAGTGGGTTTCATCCCGGGGATGCAAGGCTGGTTCAACATACACAAATCAATAAATGTAATCCATCACATAAACAGAACCAATGACAAAAACCACATGATTATCTCAATAGATGCAGAAAAGGCCTTCGACAAAATTCAACAGCCTTTCATGCTAAAAACTCTCAATAAACTAGGTATTGATTGAATGTATCTCAAAATAATAAGTGCTATTTATGACAAACCCACAGCCAATATCATACTGAATGGGCAAAAACTGGAAAAATTCCTTCTGAAAACTGGCATAAGACAGTGACGCCCTCTCTCACCACTCCTATTCAATATAGTGTTGGACGTTCTGGCCAAGGCAATCAGGCAAGAGAAAGAAATAAAGAGTATTCAATTAGGAAATGAGGAAGTCAAATTGTCCCTGTTTGCAGATGACATGATTGTATATTTAGAAAACCCATTGTCTCAGCCCAAAATCTCCTTAAGCTGATAAGCAACTTCAGCAAAATCTCAGGATACAAAATCAATGTGCAAAAATTACAAGCATTCCTATACACCAAGAACAGACAAACAGAGAGCCAAATCATGAGTGAACTCCCATTCACAATTACTACAAAGAGAATAAAATATCTAGGAATCCAACTTACAAAGGATGTGAAGGACCTCTTCAAGGAGAACTACAAACCACCGCTCAATAAAATAAAAGAGGACACAAACAAATGGAAGAACATTCCCTGCTCATGGATAAGAAGAATCAATATTGTGAAAATGGCCATACTACCCAAGGTAATTTATAGATTCAATGGTATCCCCATCAAGCTACCACTGACTTTCTTCACATAATTGGAAAAAACTACTTTAAACTTCATATGGAACCAAAAAAGATCCCGCATAACCAAGACAATCCTAAACAAAAGAAAAAAAGCTGGAGGCATCATGCTACCTGACTTCAGACTATACTAGAAGGCTACAGTAACCAAAACAGCATGGTACTCATACCAAAACACAGATATAGACCAATGAACAGAACAGAGGCCTCAGAAATAACACCACACATCTACAACCATCTGATCTTTGACAAACCTGACAAAAACAACCAATGGGGAAAGCATTCCCTATTTAATAAATGGTCCTGGGAAAATTGGCTCACCATATGTAGAAAGCTGAAACTGGATCCATTCCTTACATCTTACACAAAAATTAACTCAAGATGGATTAAAGACTTAAATATAAGACATAACACCATAAAAACCCTAGAAAAAAACCTAGGCAATACCATTCAGGACATAGGCATGGGCAAAGACTTCATGATTAAAACACCAAAAGCAATGGCAACAAAAGCCAAAATACACAAATGGGATCTAATTAAACTAAAGAGCTTCTGCACAGCAAAAGAAACTATCATCAGAGTGAACAGGCAAACTACAGAATGGGAGAAAATTTTTGCAATCTGTCCATCTGACAAAGGGCTAATATCCAGAATCATAAAGAACTTCAACAAATTTACAAGAAAAAACAACCCCATCAAAAAGTGGGCAAAGGATATGAATAGACACTTCTCAAAAGAAGACATTTATGCAGCTAACAGACATATGAAAACATGCTCATCACCACTGGTCATCAGAGAAATGCAAATCAAAACCACAATGAGATACCACTCACGCCAGTTAGAATGATGATCATTAAAAAGTCAGCAAACAACAGATGCTGGAGATGATGTGGAGAAATAGGAACACTTTTACGCTGTTGATGGGAGAATAAGTGAGTTCAACCATTGTGGAAGACAGTGTGGCAATTCCTCAAGGATCCAGAACTAGAAATTTCATTTGACCCAGCAATCTCATTACTGGGTATATGCCCAAAGGATTATAAATCATGCTACTATAAAGACACATGCACACCTATGTTTATTGCGGCACTATTCACAATAGCAAAGACTTGGAACTAACCCAAATGTCCATCAATAATAGACTAGATAAAGAAAATGTGGCACATACACACCAAGGAATACTATGCAGTCATAAAAAAGGATGAGTTCATGTCTTTTGCAGCGACATGGATAAAGCTAGAAACCATGATTCTCAGCAAAATATCACAAGGACAGAAAACCAAACTCCGTATGTTCTCACTCTTAAGTGAGAGTTGACCAATGAGAACACATGGACACTGGGAGGGGAACATTACACACCAGGGCCTGTTGTGGGGCTGGGGGCTGAGGGAGGGATAGCGTTAGGAGAAATACCTAATGTAAATGATGAGTTGATGGGTCCAGCAAAACAACATGGCACATGTATACCTGTCTAACAAAATTGCAGGTTATACACATATACCCTAGAACTTAAAAGTACTAAAAAAAAAAAAAAAAAAAAAATCATTTCTTTGAATAAGCGTTCTACTCTTTGCTCCTCCTCAACCCCCTCTTTGAGCCAATGAATCTTTGATTTTCTCTTTTGAGGTCCTCTTCTAGATCTCTTAAGCATTCTGTGTTCCTTCTCATTCTTCTTTTCATTTTTCTCCTCTGACTGTATTTTCAAATAGCTTTTTTGCATGCTCATTATGCTTGATCAATTCTACTGAGACCCGCTAATGCATTTTCCAGCTTCAGGATATGATTTTTTTCTCTTACTTCAGTAATCTTGTTAAATTTCTGATATATTTCTGAATTGTTTCTCTGTGTTTTCTTGAAGTTCATTGAGCTTTCTCAAAATAGCTATTCTGAATTCCCTGAGAGGTTACACATCTCCGTCTCTCCAGGGTTGGTCACTGGGTGCCTTACTTGCTCCATTTGTTGAGGTCATATTGACTTCACTGTTATTGATACTGTCGATGTTTGTCAATATCCGGGCATTGAAGGATAAGGTATTTATTTCAGCCTTTGCAGTCAGGTCTTGTTTGTACCTGCCCTTCAGAGGACCTTCCAGGAATTCAAAGTGGGCTGACGAGTTCCCTAAGCCAGTGATCACTGCAGCCGTGTTTGTACTACAGGGCGCCCGAGGCCCAGGTACACTGCAATTCTTACAGATTCCTAGGTCCCCAGCCCTGTAGACTTGGGGGAGATCGTGGATTATTCTCTGCATTCCCAGGTAAAGCCCCTAGCTTACTTCCCTTTCTTTCCCCCAAGCAAAAGGAATCTGTCTTCAGGCTGTACTGCCTGGAGTGTGGGGAGGGGTGATACAGGCATTCCCATAGCTGCTGCAGCTGCTGTCGTCATACTGGCTCACACCTCAAGTCCAGGGTCTTCCAGATCTATGAAGCATCAGGGCTTGCCCAAGGACTGCAGTCATTACAGCCTGCCTGCCACTGAATTTTATTTGAAGCCCAGTAAATTTCCGGTAATAAAGCCGGCCAGAACCTTGGTGGGTTCTTCCTGTTGGGGCAGCTGATTCCCTTGTGGCCCAGGGTGGGTCTAAATGCTTCTTTTGTGGGCGCCAGCCCGGAATCAAGTGCTGTGGGGTTCTGTCCAGTACTGTGTGTCACTATGGCAAGACTGGTACTAAGTTTCAATATAAAGTCCCACACTTTCCCCCTTGTCCCCAACCCATTAGATTCTCTCTTGGAGATGCTTTCCTGTGGTTGGGGGAGAGGTGTCATAGGCAATGCAAGACTGTCCTTCCTCCCTTCTTCAATCATCTTTCCTTGTTATCATGTTAAAAGCAGGTGCTGTGATCTCTCACCTGGTTAGCTCTTGTGAAAGTGTTTTCTTGCATAGACAGTTGTTCAATTTGATGTTCCTTCAGAGAGACCATTTCTGGAGAATTCTATTCTACCATCTTTCTCCACCTTCTACCTATTTATTTTTTAACTGTTTCTAGTAAATAATTGTGAAGTGATAGCTTTATTTTAATCTTGGGGATCAAAAGCATGTAGCTAAGAACTTTTCCCAAGGAATATTTTAAAATTTTTATATCCATGTTTATGGAATGACATGCTTTTTGATTCAAGGTTCTTAAATGTAGTTTTAGTTTTGATTCAATGTTATACAACACTGTTTTTCTAAACTGTGATCTGCAGCCCACATGTAATGGAATCACCTGGGGTGCTTATATAAAAAAAAAATGCAGATTCTAGGGCTCACACCAACTAAATCTCCTGGGATTGGAGACCAGCAGGTAGCTCCTATAATCTCCACAGCTGCTTCTAAGGCACACCAAGTTTAAGAAGCATTCTTTCATATTTTCAGACGGGATTCTTACAAAATGACAAAGAAGGAAAATCTTAATCTTTTAAAGTTAGAGTTCGGGCGTTAGACTGTGCACTTCTTCAACACAGTTTGTCTTTCCCATTCTCCCTTTCCAGTTCTTTATACTGTCAAGGGATTGGGGCAGAAATGGGAAACAAAGCAGTGAAAGAAAAACTATTTATTTCTTTATACACATTTTGCTTTAATAATCACCAAAAAGACTTTCATTTTCTGTCACCCACCCTGTCCACCGGTTATGTTGGCCTTCAATATATGGCGATAGCAACATATATAAATCTATATCATACATTTATACACACACACATATTCTATCAGCACTGTGAAGACACAGACTAGGCTCTATGAGGCTGGGGGCCTCTCCCATGCCACTTAAAAATGAGCACAGGTTTGCTCTATGCAAGAATTTCAACAGAATTGGTCTGGCCATCAGTTCCCAATTTCCCCGAGGTAAGATAGGATGACAAAATGGGACAGCATATTTGAAATGAGGTCAGTCCAATTTGGATATCATAGAAGAAAAGAAATCGGATGTGCTAGGTTAAGCCTGAGATGGTATCTGGGAAGTCACCACATTCATGATGTGAACTCAAAGAACACAGGTGCTACAGTACAGACCAAAGCCCAGCCTGACTTGACCCAACAGGGTCAGGTGTGGATCTGTGAGTAGTGCTCACTGAGCTCCGCCAGCAGTGTCCGGCAGGGCACCGCTGCTCAGTAGTGTGCTTTTAGAACCTGCCAGAGGAGCTCCAGCATTGGGACCACGTGCCCCATTCATCGGAATCAGGGTCCTATATCCACTGAGCTTTCCATCTCAGGACAGCTGATGAGGCAAGAAATGTGCTGTTGCTAGTTCCCAAGCTGCTGGGGCTGTTGAGAAGCAGTACCACGAAACCTTCTATGCAAACTACGCATCTTCTGCTTAGTGCTGGGCCAAGTGGACCTTGGCTAACGGTATTCCATAGCTCTCAGAAAGGCTTTCTGGCTTTCTCCCAGCTCCACCAGGATACATCTCCGACTCCCTCTTCTGGACCCTCTGGTGGACTTGGAGGGACGAGGCCCAGATGCTCCTCAGCAGATAGGTAGCTGCACAAAAGGGGGACAGGCCCACCTTTCCTGCTGTTTTAAGGACTTCTGGTGGCTGTGCTTCTTGCATGGTGCCTGGAAGGCAAGGGTCACAAGGCTGGAGTACACGGCAGAGCCCTTAGGGATTTCACCTGCAGACAAAAATAAAACGATCCAAATCAGTGTATATTGCCAGGCCCTACTGATGGCTACCTGAAGCTGCAGTGAGAGCTATGGGGTGACCAAAGCCATGAGCACGATGAGAGCCAGTTAAAAGGATGAGCTAAGAGCATGCGCTGCAGTCTGGAGAAGCAACAGGTGCCCGAGGTTACGGGGAGCCTCCCCACCTCCCTGTGTGCTGAGATCCCTGCTCCAATTCACTGCACACTGGGCGGCTGGATCCTACCACTGCCTCTTTAGGGGCCAGGTGACTCTCCAAATCACTTTGTCTCAGCAGAAAGAGGCCTTTGCCATCTCCACTCAAGAAAGAAGTGCTTAGCATGAAACATGCACATATAGAAACAGCCTGTTGTAGGAAGAAGAGGACATTTTGTGGGGAAGTCCTCTGTTAAGTTTATGTCCAGTCGCCATAATGAGGGTGTGGAGGGACCAAGTCCACAGGGACCTCAAAGCTAAACTAAGTCCAGTTCCATCTTTGATAGATGAGGGTGCAGCAGTCTCACAGAGACTAAGGGACAAGCTGAAGCCACACGCCAGTTAGTGATAAGCCAGGGATTAGAACCGAGGCCTCGGGTCCTTTCCAGTGATCTATGGGAGGTGGAGGGGAAAGCTTCCACACTGGAGAAAGTCAGTGGATACTAGAGACTTTTGGGTTACCTTTTAGTGGATACTAGAGACTTTTTGGGTTACCTTTTCTGGGACAGGAATAAGGCTTTACAGAGGCAATCCTGTAAGTGCTGCTCTAAAGAGGCTCAGGAAAGAGAAGAATTATCAGAGAAAAACAAAAGGGAATTAGTGAAAAAATAAAAAAATAATAAAAAAAAAAGAGCAAGTTAAACTGGCCCAAGCCATTTTCACACTGTGGAGATCAACTTTCTCTCAGGTTACAGTTTAGAAACATTTCTAGGAATGTGCTCAATTGCTTATGGCAAAGCTTTGAAGTCCAGGTTTAGTTTCTGATTTTTAAACCATTTCATATACCTCAAGTTTTTCTTCAAAGCACTTCCTAGGGAATGATTAACACTTAGTGTTTTAAGTAAACATAGATAATGTCTGGTACACTTGTAATATTTTTCCCCTGAAGGTTCAGTTGTTATTCACTAACAAATTCTCTTTTAGACGAATGAGACCCAACAGATCTCTTTTGTCATGTTGCTTAAAGATACAGCAAAATCAAATTGCTGTTCTTAACCCAGGAGTGTGCAGTGAAATCAGTTTACTAGGTTGCAAATTGCTTTTACTTTTTCATGAAGAGTAGAACACATAACTGGCCTCAAGATCCCTCTACCAAAAGCTCATTCTGAGGCAGACTCCCGAATGTCTAATGACTTCAAGAGTCAGCTGAACTGCATTTCTCCAGTCTCCTGACTCGGCATCAAAGAAGAAAAGTTGGAGTTAAAAGGAGAGATGATGACAATGTGAGAGTGAACCAAGATACAGGGGCAGGAGCGAGGGTGATGGGAACAGAAACTAGCAGGACACTCACTGAGGACCTGTGATGTTGCAAGCGGACCCAAATCTCCTGGAAGGCCAAAGCAGGCCAAAGGTCACCTACAAGATCTGCTAATGGATGGTGGTGGGTTGGGGACAGGCTTGGTGCCTCTGATTGGTGCCGTAGTTTTCTTACCTCTAAGTTAGTCCTTGCCTTCTTTAAAACATCGTGTGTTCTGGTTACTGAAACAACAAAAGAGCACCACAGAGTAGAAATCACCAGCAGAAATTAACCCTACTTGCTTAGCTGAGAATTCTAAAGCATTTATTTATTTCTGGCCATTCAGCTTGGAGTCTCCTTCTATCCACCCTGTCCTCCCCTCCCTCTTCATCCACAATTGCTCGTGGCATAGGAGGTTTGGGGACATCAAATCAGTCTCCACTCCCAACATCTCCAAGTCCCCGGTCACTGCTCCCCTGCAGCACAAGTGGGGCATTGGGAAGACTGCCCGTTTCTTCCCCCATTCCCTCTCAGGGAACCTACGCTGGCTGACGATGAACTGCTCCATGCTCTCCTTCTGCTGGTTCGCGGTCTTCAGACGCTCAGCTGTGCTCTGAAGGAGCTGCTCCTGTTTGGATACTTTGGTTCTCAGTTCCAGAAGTTCCCTTTCTGTTGATTCTCCCTGGATAAGAGGAACAGACTGTTACTGAACAGGCAGAAGGACTAAAGCACCCTGTGCTTTGTGGCTCTTTCCAATTCCAAGAAGGATTCTACAATCTTCTCCACCCTCCTGAACTGGATTTCCTCCTTCACAGCCTCAGATACCTCCAGCTGAGGACAGTTTAGGATGAGGCCATTAGGTAGGAATATTGAGACTCTGGAATTCCCCATGTAGACTAGCACAGGCCCACACACCTGTAGCTTAAGAGGACCTCACTTCAGGCTGGAATAAAACTCCCAACTCTGAAGAGGACCTTGCTTTAGTCCTGATATCAGTTCTGTCACTCTCCCTTCACAGGCAAGATTGAGAGTTCAGAAATGATATATTCGGGAGAGAGATCTGGACTCAGGAAAGTTTGCAAGTTTGTAAATATTTGTGCCAATATGGAGATGGCAAAACACCGTCTCCCTGGAATGAGCCTAGCTGGATCCCAAAGGTGTTGGTGACGTTGATCTGGAGCTGGGATCCCTGGGAGGGGATCCTGAAACCTGTCTCCTCGAGGGTCTGCCAATCAGAGTTAGCCTGAGCTCTGAGCAGATCCTGAGGGGTGGCTGACTTTCCCCAGGCCTGGTCCAGAGATGCCAGCTGAAGTGATATGCTGGGATTCCAGGCAGCGGCTGAAAAGGCTCAGTCTCATGGGGGCATTCTGTGATCATGTGACCATGGGACCTGAGGGGTGGGAGGTGGGTGCTGAAGCTTTAACTGAATTTCAGCTCAGCCAAACTGCAGAGAGGTAAAGAAACTGAACCTTTATGGATTGCCAGGGTTATGATGTCTCCGCCTTCTCCACACCCCTTCCTCTTCTTCTTTGATTTTTTTATCCAGGGGCCAGGGGGTTGGTGGGGAATGGGATGTATTTACAGCTGCAATGAAAGCAGCCACCATGGGTCAGAGATGTCCCTCCAGGGACACTCCTCTAAGGTCCTGTCTATCCCAACTCACTATGTGGCTCCCAATTTTCTGGAAAAGCTGTGACACTGAAGAGACAGAACAGTATTGGAGGGCAGGAAAACTGGGTTCGAACCAAGAAAGGACACTGGCATCTTACCACTTTGCCAGGCAGCACAGGGATGTGGGTGCTTGGCAGGGCCGCTCTCCAGAACATGGTGAGGAGGGAAGCCGACTCCTCTAGGGCATGGTGCAGGGCAGTGGTGCTGCTCCGAAGCTCATGAATGCCTTTGCTGCCTAGCACCTGGGGAAAGGTAACACCACAGGAGCGGAGAGATTACTTTCTTCCCCCTGCATGGGCTCCCGCTTCCTTTGTGAGTGAGGCACAGAACATGGGCCTGCTTGAACTGTGAAGCCCTCGCACAACCATTTGCAGCTCTCAGAACTAAGGTGCTGGTCCCTTTACCAGGTATGCCTCCCTCCACCTGCAGAACCCACAAGGCTTTCAAAACTCACCCCCGTTGCTGTGTCCTCTATGAACCTGTTACCTTCCTTGCCTGAGATAAATGACCACGTTTGCATTGGCGGCCTCACAGCACAGAGGATGGCTTCTCATGCTGTGTCTGCAGCCCCTTACTGTGCTGATCTACTTGTGTGTGTGTCTTGCCCTCTAGTGTGGGGTTCTGTGGAGGCAGGGCTGTCCCTACGCATCCATGGGTCTCCAGCAGCTCAGACAGCACAGCCACTGGTGCCCGGTCTCTCTCACTGGCAAGGCGCTCTGAGAAGCTTTGCTGACTGCCTTCCCTCCCTCTATGCAGTCTGCACAAGGAAATGCCATGGCTGCCAGGCTTCTCACCCCTTCCACATGTGGGGGCCATACACCTGCAAATCCTTCAGTTTCTATCCATCCCATTGTGTCAACTCTGCCCACAGATGGTCATGTGCCTGTATAAAGCAATGGCAACAAAAGCCAAAATTGACAAATGGGATCTAATTAAACTAAAGAGCTTCTGCACAGCAAAGGAAACCACCATCAGAGTGAACAGGCAACCTACAGAATGGGAGAAAATCTTTGCAATCTACTCATCTGACAAAGGGTTAATATCCAGAACCTACAAAGAACTCAAATTTACAAGAAAAAAACAAACAACCCCATCAAAAAGTGGGCAAAGGATATGAACAG